CAAGCGAATTTATTATATTTTTTTAAATATAATTTTAAAATAAAATAAACAAAATCTGCAGTTCATTGTTTATTAAATTTATTTAAAAGAAGAAAAATATATATTTCACAAAATACAATACCTACATATGAAAAATAAAATGTCAAAAATGATTAAATCATTATACTTAATATTTATGCATGTGATAACATTCTTAGTTTCCCAAAAACTTTTTTGGCACATTTTATATCTGTATTAGAATACCTTAGTGTGTAAAAATCTTCATCTTATTACTACACAAAACAAACACCAAAAAATATCACTTAACATTGCTCACGTACTAAACACAACTTGGACTGACTTTGACAGATAACATAATTTTGAGTGATACACAACTTATTTTCGCACATGCGCGTTACAAAACGGTACACTGAAAACACAAAGCTGTCGCTTCTCCTTGATCGGTATTCTCGGGTTTAACTATTACATAATAATAAACGTTTAATTGTTGTTTAAAAATATACGTGTAATTAATACGTAATAAAAGATTATTTCGTTGGCATATAAACGTTTATTGAAACACTTGAAAATACGTAATATATAAAATACATAATATACAGGGTGTCATTGAAATAGTGTAAAAAAATTCAGGAGGTGATAGTACTCCTAAAACTAGTAAAAAAAGTTCCTATAACTATGGGTCGTTAAATACATATTAAGGGATTTAGGGGCGTCAAAAGGGCAAACTTGGAAAGTGGTTTTTTTTGAAATTGTAAGCTTAAAAAACACGATAAAACTTCGAAAAAAATCCCTGTTGACATAAAATTTACTGCTGAATCCAATGGTAATATCGAAACATTAGTTATTTAATTAGAAAGGGTAGTTCTTGCAAGGGTAAGGGGTCGATTTATGATTAACTTTTTAGGAGTTGATTTTTTTATAACGTGGGTCTATTTTTTAAAAACAACTACCTTTTTTCCATAAAAAAGTTACTCTTAATGCAAGTCGCTTTTTTTTTGTCATCGACTGTAAGCCATTTGCCATACACTCAAAACGGTATTTTTTTTATTAGATTGTCATGTGGGTATGATACAAGTAATAATCTAGATCATGATATTATTTTCATTGACAAATTCTAATATTATATCATAAATATTTTTATTAAAAGTTGCGAGTAAAGTAGTAATATTGAGAGGTGGATTGATATTAAATTTATTTAAATTAAATAATAGTTTGTTATTATTATATTTGCCACATTGAAAAAATATATGATTTAGATCTGCAGTTTCCCCATCCGCTTCACAGTATGGGGTTTCTAATATACCTATTTTATTCAGATGAGCTGGAAAACAACCGTGATTGATTTTCATTCTAGAAATTTAGCTGCTATAGTGTTTGTTAACTTTGTATTCGAAAATATGTGGTACTTTTTTTGGGAGTTCTTCGTGGAGCAAAAAATAGGGGTTTTTGGAATCAGAGGCTACTTTTTTCCACCATAACATCCATTGTTCGAACATTTCATTTTTATAAAAGTTGCTGAGGTCTTGGTATATTGGAGTCTGTATATAGTTATCTGATATTCTGGCTTCTTTAGCAGCTAAATCCACCTTTTCATTGCCTTGTATCCCCGAATGTCCCTTAACCCAGACAAAGTTAACATGATGTCCTTCACGAGATAGTTGATACAGTAAGTATTTGATTTTGCAGATAATACTATCTTTAAGATATGTCAGATCTTGATTTTCAATCCGCTGTAATACCGACTTGGTGCAAGTCGCTTAAAACAACCGTTTTCGAGAAAATTGAAGGCAAAGAGTTTGGTAAACCTGTAGTTGAAAAACGAAAAGTAAAATTATTATTTTTTGATGGGTATCTCACAGATTAATAAACATAAATTTATGAAAATTGTGACGTGTTAAACTAATCAACCTTCCAAAAAACTCATAAACACTAAAGAAAAAAAAAATATTTTCAAGTAATGTCGAAGAAATTTTATTATGAAAAATTATTTTTTTTTGTCTGTGGGTCAATTTTTTTTTTCTCAACTTTACAATCGGAAGGTAAGTGGCAACCCAAACCCCAGAAGAAATTTGTGGGCACGCCACTGTCAATGAATACTTTTTGTAAATGAAATAATCAAATTAGGACAGAACAATAGCTATGTACATGGCCTTATCACAATTTTTTTATTTTAATTTAGCAAAAAGAAATTGTAAATAATTTTGTTTAAAATTATTCTGGTTTTTAAGTATTTCTGTCAGTTTCTTGTTGTTGAAGTGTACGTGAGCGTAATATACCAGAAATTATGGATTACACTGTACTTGAACTGACAGATATATATGCATTTTATTTATGGAAGAGCGAACGGAAACGGTCTTTTAGCTAAACGTTTGTTGTTACGGGTTGAAAGTAATTTAAATTTAAAAGTACATTTAAGTAAAGTTTGTTATGATTTTGTGCAATTTTAACTAACTCTTCAATTTAATTTTAGAAGAGAAAATCTTCTGGTACTTGCCTTAATAAATAAAACTAATTAAACTTAATTTCAACATTTATTTAATTTTTGTTATTATTACCATAACCTAGTCTCTGTACAATAATGCAGTCTTTCGAGATTCTTCTTCATTTTCGTTTCTTCTTTTTCCTTCAGGCCTCGTCCTAAAGTAAAGGTCAATATCTACTTTCCTATTGGTCATGAATTACTCCATTTTGTCGTAAGATTAACTGTCTCTTTTCACTACCTCTTTCTTTTTTTTTTGGCTACTGAATTGGAACATGTGCTTCCCTATTTCTCGATGAATTTTCGGATTAAATTAGCCCTAAAAGAAAGATTACTTTATTAGTTTTGAAAAAAAGTAATAAAGCAGAGTTGCTAATACACTTGGTGGATAAAATATACTTTTTTTTTCTAAAACTAATCTACTTCTAAGCCTCTCACCACGCATGGTAAGTTTCCTCAACCAAAATTCATGATCATTAATAAAGGAAGTAAATAATTATAATCTATTGTTTTAGGCTTTTTCTGTACAGGTAGTACTTATTCTTATGGTAACCTGTGAATTTATTTGGAGTACCTTATTGCTTAGTAATTTCTTGCTTTGCTTCTTAGCTCCCTGCATGGCTTCTGACCTTTCTGCTTAGCCTTATAGCCAAATAGCTTGCCTCCCAATATACCTGCGAAACTTGAGATTGTTAAAAAAAATACCTGGAACCACTTTAATAGGAAGATAAAAATTGGTAATAAAGAATAATACTTCCAGAGATGCTACTGGACTCAATCATAATAAAAGTAAGAACTTTCCATTGTTTAAATTATTGTCGCCAAGGGGATACATATTTTGAAACATATGCTGAATCAGGAAATAGAAAATATATGAAAGAAAAACGTCACAATATTATATTGTTTTAAATAAAATTTTACTTACTATGTAAACGATTAGTACTAATCGGGCTTCAAAAATCAAGTTGTACAATTCATTATTTAGCCTTTATCTTCTTCGGATCCTGGCGATATATAAACAAATTATATTACTTTTATATTTACCTAAAAATACAGCATTCTACCAATATTTGTCGAATATTATGAACCCACTAGTCCTCGTTTTCTCCTAGAGGAATGGTAATAACATTGTATATTCAAAAATATCCAAATCGCAGAGCACCCTTTCATAGGATATTTGCCAGAGTCCATCAGCGCCTGAGACACGAAGGTTCATTTAGTAACAGGCACCATGATCGCAGCCGTAATGGCCAGCCAGATCACCAGATCTTAATCCACTTGATTTCTACTTATTGGGTCACTTAAAAGCTTTGGTTTACTCAGTGCCGATTAATACTGAAGAGCAACTACGACAACGGATAATTGCTCCAATCAAATTCGTACAACGCCAAGGATTTTCGATAGGGTACGCAGATCCTGGAGGAGAAGAGCAGGTGCCTGTATTGAAATGAATGATGGCCACATTGAACATTTACTTTAAATAAAAGAGTCAGACTGATATGATAAAAAAATACTTTCCATAATAGTAATAAAATATTTTTCACTTTAATTTCTCACTCTTTTATTATTTAAAATAATTTCGGCGCTTCTCTTGTTTAACAGGGCGATTTGGTAATTCTAAATTGAAGTAACCACGCCATAATTTTCATAAATTTATGTTGATTAACCTGTGAGCATTCCATCAAAAAATAAATACATACTTGTTTTTCAAATACGGTTTTAGTAAAATGTTTGCCTTCAATTTTCTCGAAAACCATTGCTATAAGCGACTTGCAATAAGAGTACCTTTTTTATGTAAAAAAGGTAGTAGTTTTTAAAAAATAGACACATGTAAAAAAATCAACCCCTAAAAAGTTAATCATAAATCGACCCCTTACCCTTGCAAGAACTACCCTTTCTGATTAAATAAGTAATTTTTCGATATTACCATTGGATTCAGCAGTAAATTTTATGTCAGCAGTGATTTTTTCGTGTTTTCTAAGCTTACAATTTCAAAAAAACCACTTTCCAAGTTTGCCCTTTTGACTCCCCTAAATCCCTTAATATGCATTTAACGACCCATAGTTATAGGAACTTTTTTTACTAGTTTTAGAAGTACTATCACCTCCCGAATTTTTTTACACTATTTCAATGACACCCTGTATATTTAAAATCAACTGATATTTCTTCTTTTTCATGTCAGAAACTATGTAAAATTCAACGTTTGATTCTAATATTATCTTAATAGTAACATAAAACGTTACGAACATACGTTAATTTTACATGCAATTTGTGGTTGTGAAAACGTTATTTTCCGCCATATTTGAACACTTTCTTATACGTATCAACCAGTTTTTTAACGTACGTGTGCTCCAGATCTAATTTTCAATTTTTTTTATTATTGTTAAAAAATTATTTTTTTAATGATTTTTATAAATATACAGTTAAAAAGAAGCATTAACTTATCAAATACCGTATTAATTACTTAATTGATTTGATAAAACTATACCAAATTATTAAATATAACTAAACCAGTACATACCAAATCATCACCTCCACCTGCCTTGTTCCTTAAGGCATATAGTAACAGAGAAATCAGAATTAACATAGCCAAAAAGGCCAACAGAGCACAAATGAAACTTTTGAAGGAAGTGTCCCGTCTTCGTTTTTTGTTAACATTATAACTCCCGGTTTCAACCATTATTTTAAGTCGGTTTTTAGCAACGGTCGCCGTAGAACTACAATTATCTTTATTCAAAAATTATTATCGACCTATATAAAGGAAGTAACTTTTTATCAATAGTCTTGGCCGCTACCTTATCTTGCTGGATTTTCCTGTGAAACAAACAATTTTTCTAACCAAATAAAATCGGATCTTTCAAGTTTTGTTGGTTCCATATGGAATTTGATTGTATGCGATTATAGAAATTGTATTATACACGCCGCCAACATAAAGGAACACGCACATCGCTTATGGAAAAGTGGCGACCTGTTAAAAGTCATACATTATAGATATGTTGCAGTTTTCGACCTCCTAAGAAATAATGTCCATGGGATCATTCTAATCCTATAACTGGTTTTTAAGATACAGGGAGTTAAACTTGATAACAGTTATTTCAGGAGAAAGCTAATCGATTATAATTTTTTGGCCAAAATTGTATACTAACACCTTTTGGCATTCTACGAATATAAAAAGGAGTCAAGAATTATTTTTCTATACAAGGTGGGTCACAAAAAAGTGATAAATACTTTTATTATTCTAGAAGGTGAACATATTAACTAAAAAATAAATTATTGCTATATTTATCATGTCTAATAATAATACAAAAGATATTAGGTGCCATTTACACAGAGTGATTCTTAATACTGTGTTCATAGCATTGATTGGTGCATAGTGATGGGGCGATGGATAACGTTCGAAAACTTTGTTATCTAAAAGGTGTTTTAACTGGTCCTTCAGCCGAATAGTTGGTTAATCACATCGAAGATATCAATCGAAAAGCGAAAATTAAGTACTTATATCATTGGACTGGAACGCATTTGAAGGGTATCGTATTGAGGCATATTATCATTTAAACTAATCGGAGTTAATGTGAGTTATAATAATTCTTTGTCTCTGATATTTGTGCATTTATAGTTAGTTGGTCCTTTATTTTTCTCTTAAAAATAAACAATAAACGAGGAAACAAAGCAAAGGTTAGGGGCCCTCAAAGTACGTTAAGGCATATTTAACGAAATTTATTAAGTTTCTTGATAACTTTACTATACATCAGATAGAACAATTACAACTAAGATATGAAAACATAATTTATAATATTGAGCATTTTAATAAAGTACAACTTCAAATAGAATTAATTGATACAACTGAGGTAGGTTCAAATGAAAGTGAACAACACGAAGAAAAGTTTTATCATGCAACAGCGCGGGCTAAAAAGCTTCTTCAAAGTGATCAAAGTGCCATCGGAAATATACAACACAATGCGCCTAATCCAATTTCTGATATTAAATAAACCTAATATTAAATTACCAACAACGATTTTACCTAATTTTAATGGAGATTTTGACTTTTGTACTTGTTTGAAATATGAGTTGTCAATCTTATGAAAATAATAAACGTCTTTTTAAGTCAACGAAATTTGAATAACAATCAATTCTAAACAATTGTAATTCTTTAACACGGTGTCCGATTTTAATGATTCTTTTTTTTGTTAGAAAGGGGGTACTTCAAGGGTGGTCCCATATAAAATTGGTAAAAATCTAATAATTGGGTCCATGACAAAATCCTCAGACTCTTCATTTTTTATGTATGTTTAGCGATAAAGCTTTACCACCTTGTCCGATTTATATGATTCTTTTTTTGTTCCATATACATTTGGTTAAGATGTGGTGATGGCATCTGCACGTTTTTAAAGTCGTTTTTTTTAAATTTTTAATTTCTAATAGGGAAGAGCGGGGCAAGACGGGGTAGTGAGGTAAGATGGGGTACCACTAATTGTAGCGAGTGGGGGCAGTCGATCGAACGGAAAACAACAACAAAATGCGCTGTCAAGGTCTGTAACCACGGGTTGAAAGTTTAGTATGCCGTGGAATTGCGACGAAGCAGTTGTGTAAAGTTATCTCCAAATAATCTGTGATTTCATACGTTACATTTTTATAGTGGTCAAGTTTAAACTGTGATAAGTAAGTAGACATTATTTTTACATTTTTTAAATATTTACTGGTGTATGTGAGATGTATTTGCAGTTAGTTACGTATAATTAGTTTTTATTTTTTATAAACCAGAATCGCAGTAATTAGAAATTTTTGCAAAATGGCGCGAAGGGGCAAGATGGTTTTGTTTTTGAGGGGCAAAAAGGGGTACTACTTGGTATATAGAAAGTCACCTTTGTTGTTTAAATTGCCAGAGTAAAATTATATTTATAATTATTTTCTTTTTAAGATCATGGTGAGAAAGTATAAACGAAAGTCTGACCGTGGAAATTGGTCTATTGAAGGGATGGAACATGCCGTTACAGCTGTGTTGAATGAGGAAATGGGATATAAAAGGGCAGCTAATTCGTACGGTGTGCCTCAATCAACTTTGGAGAGAAAAGTTAAAATAGCTAGAGAAAATCCAGATATTGGAACTGAGCAACTTAAACCCAGTTTAGGTCCAAAAAGCCAGTTTTTAGTTCAGAAGAGGAAAATTTGCTAGTAAAATTTATCTTAAAAATGGAGGAGAGATTTTTTGGCCTTACTCCTTACGACCTACGAGTATTAGCTTTCCAGTGAGCTGAAAGGCTCAATAAAGCCCATGTAGTCGCAACTAAAAAACGAACTGCAGGGAAAGATTGGCTCTCAGGTTATATGCGTCGCAATCCTAGGATATCTCTAAGAAAACCTGAGGCTACCAGTGCTGCAAGAGCAGCAGGATTTAATCCTACAGTTGTTAACAATTTTTTTGATCTTCTAACTCGATTAGTAGATAAATATAAATTAACTCCAGAAAGAATATACAACTGCGATGAAACTGGCGTATCAGTTGTTCCCAAAACTAAGTTAAAAATTATTTCGTTAAAAGGAAGAAAGCAAGTTGGAGCACTGACTTCTGCTGAGAGAGGTAAAACTATCACAATTGAGATATGTTTTAACGCTGCAGGTACCTACATGCCACCAATGTTTATTTTCCCACGTTCTAAAATGAATCCAGAGTTATTGAATGGCTGTTCTCCTGGTGCATGGGCTGAGACTCACCCAAGTAAATGGATGCAAAAAGAGATATTTTTTGCATGGTTTAAAAAGTTCGTTCAATTTAGCAAAGCTTCAAAAACGTCACCTGTACTTCTGCTACTAGATGGCCACTCCACTCATACAAAAAATATAGAGTTGATCAACTACGCACGAGAAAATGGTGTCATTTTATTATGGTTCCCTCCACATTGTTCACATCGTTTGCAGCCACTGGACGTTTCATTTATGCGGCCTGTGAGTGTTTTCTATGATACAGAAATATCTCAGTGGCTGAGAACAAACCCAGGACGGGTTGTTTCGCAGTATCAAATTGCAAGCTTGTTCGGAAATGCTTTCTTGCGAGCAGCTACAATGCTTACGGCAATTAATGGATTTCGTCAGACTGGAGTATGGCCACTTAATAGAAATGTTTTTGGAGAAGCAGATTTCGCTTCATCACAGACCACAGAAATTATTCTTTCTAATAACTCCATACCTGATAGTCAAATGAATACGTCTGAACTTTCCACGAATTTGTCGAATCCGGTTATTCCTCCGCGCCCTTCTACACCTACAGATCAACCAATAGTTAGTTCTGATGCCCCAAGTATCCAGGCTTCCTGTTCGTTTAATTCCACTTTTAAAATAGACTTTCAAGATTTAACTAAGCCTGCTACTTCCTTCGAATTTATAACTCCAAAACAAACTAATCTTTCGCATTTACCATGCACACCGGAAGATATTATGCCGGTTCCTTCCTGCAAGCAAACGACTCCTAGGGTTACCCGAAAAAAAGGCAAGACCGCTGTTTTAACGGAATCGCCGTATAAACAGGAACTAGAAAAGGAAATTGCTGAGAGACAAAATAAAGAGCTACAGAAGAAAGAAAATGTTAAGAGAAAATTAGAAAACAAAAATAATGCGAAGGGCAAGAAAATACAAAAAAAAAACAATTGGTTCTAAAGAAAATTTTAAACCGAAAAAGACTGGGATCAAAAAAAGGCCATCAACATCATCAGTATCATCCTCTGAATCTTCTGATGCAGAGTGTTTGTACTGTGGCCATCTTTACTCTGAATCGACCGAAGGGTGGATCCTTTGTATCAGATGTCACAGATGGGCCCATTGTTCCTGTGCGGGCGAAGAGGATGAGAATGATGAAGTGACCCATATTTGTTCCCTATGTGAATAGATACCATCTTGCCCCGCATCATTTCCCATCTTACCCCACATGTGGGGCAAGATGAAGTTTTTGACATGCCCCTGTTTCAACTATTTTTACTCTTTCATTTTTTATTGTATGTTTTTTTAATTTTAATACATAATAAACAAATATATAACAATGTGTTTCCTAATTTTGTAAATTTATTGAACTTATCCTGTATGAAATATTATCAATCAAACCTTAAATACCCCGTCTTGCCCCGCTCTCCCCTACTTGTTATAAGTATTAATTTGAAACGCTGAATTTTCACGGGACTTTTGTGTATTTACCAATTTACCATATGTATAATTATCCAATATATTGACTACAGGATGATTTAATAGATTATATTATTATATTGTATGACGTAATTCGGGTAACTTAAAATTAATCATTCTATGTTTGGTTTTGAAAAGATTAAAAAAATCAATGTGTCGGGAAATAGTATATTGTTTTATTAGGAGTAAAAGTATAACTTTTTGTGGCGAGTCTGAATGTTTGATGGCCGAACGTTAGTGAGGCCGACAATTTCAGACGAGCCACAAAAAGTGCTTTTGCTCCGAATGAAACATGTTATTTTTTCCGCAAACGGCATCCAGACTATAGAACTAATTAATATTTAAATAAAAATTCAAAACGATTGCAACGAAGAATAATAATTATAAAACTGCGCACTACATTTCCGTGGTTACTGGTTTTGTGATTGCCAAGTCAAAACAAATTTGACAGTTCAATAATATTTTATAATGTCAGAAATATTGTAAGTGATTTAAAGCAACAATTGGACTGTGCATTTTTGGTAAGTACTTGAGCATCAAAATTTTGTTTGTTGTAGTAAAGTGTACTGAAATTTTCTTTTAGATTATATTATGTCGGATTCAGAACCCAACTGTACACCGCCCGACGTTGTTGACATTGCTAAGACAGCTACGAATGATTTAATTCCAACTAAGTCAAGTAGAGTTTATAATCATGCTTAGGAAAGATTTCTCACATGGTGCAATGATAAAAACATTTCAAACTATTCGGAAAATGTGCTACTAGCTTATTTTTTTGAAATGACAACTAAATTAAAAATGAAGAGTTCAACAATGTGGTCTCAGTATTCCATGATAAAATCATTACTGAATATTAAACATGGATTAGATATTAGCAAATATATGAAACTACGTGCTTATCTGAAGAAGCAGAATGAAGGGTATACTCCCAAAAAGTCAAAGGTATTCACAAAAGACCAGTTTGAAGATTTTTTAACTAATGCACCTAATGAGCAATATCTAGGAATTAAGGTTAGTTATAATATTCTAACCTGCATAAATACAATCAAGTTTTTAAATACATACTACTTTTAGGTTGTTCTAATAATGGGCGTATCTGGAGCATGTAGATGCGATGAAATGGTGAACATGACAATAGACGATATAAAAGATTTAGGATCTGTTATTCATATAAAGATTCCTGATAGTAAATCTAAAAAGCCACGATCGTTCACAATTATTGGAGAAAAATATATAAATCTTTACAGAAAATATACTTCTTTACGTCCACAAGCTATGGAAAGCCGACGCTTTTTTTTGAAATTTCAAAAGGGAAAATGTTATCGCATGGTCATGGGAATTCATACAATTAGTAACGTACCCAAAACAGTAGCACCTTATTTAAAACTACCGAATTCAAAAGATTACACCGGCCATGCGTTAAGAAGAACTTCAGCTACTTTGCTTGTGGATGGAGGAGCTGATATTACTTGTTTGAAACGGCATGGAGGTTGGAGGTCGAGCACTGTCGCTGAAGGATACATTGAAGACTCTTTGTCTAATAAAAAACAAACTGCAGAAAAAATCTTGATGTCGAATTCTTCTTCACTGTACCTGAATGCAGCTTCTCATGAGCGAAATTATGTCGACGTTGATGTAAAGGCGGGTACAGATCTGAGCACGTACGCGTATGAGGCAAGCCGAGGCCGAACCGAATGCCTCGTGCGACGCATTTTGTACACACGAACGGTAGACGCACGAGGCACTGTTCGCTACTGATCCAGTGAATTCACGTGCACGGCACCGTACACCCAGAACACTCGTATAATTAAAACAAAAATGGAGGTCTGGTAGTTGAGTGCCTATTTTATTATTTTGTCTTGCTCTCCATAAAATATTTCGCTCATTATATACACACAGGAAGAGCAAAACCTTCTACTGACTCCACTTCATTTAAAATAAGCCTTGAAAACTGGCTATAATTCATTCGGCACAAATTCCCCGTCCAGACTGAGCACGTACTGCGCATTGCGTCCCTTTGATGTACCGCCAACAAACGGATCGGGGTGAGGCCGCACGGCGCAATTTGCCGCTCCTCGGAAGCTCGTCCACATCTGCATGCTCATGCGTCCTCGGCTTGCCTCATACGCGTACGTGCTCAGATTTGTACCCGCCTTAACAGAAGCAACAACAAGTAAGGAGTCACGGGAAATTTTGTCGATAAACTCTTTCAACTCTGCATAAAATTCGCTTGAATTGGAAGTGAATAAATCAGGTAGTGCATTAAATATGTGCGGTGCAACCTTAAATAACTGTAATTTTACTATTAATAATTATTATCGTTAATAAAGTTTAAAAGTTCAACTAATAATTATTTTCCCTGTTAAAAATTCTACTTTTTTGTACGGCCGTCAGCGTACAAAAAAGTACTTTTTTGTCCGCTCACGGCCGTACAAAAAAGTGGCGTCTGTGAAATCATACTTCAACATCATGAATTGACGTTAATAATGTCTACTTTTTTTGACGTTTGCGGAAAAAATAGATTTTTGAAGGAATGTAAACAGGGATTTGGGAGAGATTGTCAGATTATTTTAGATTGTCATGAGAAATTTAATTTTAAAAAATGTTAAGATATGTTATAGTAAGAGAAGTTAAATAAAGTTGATTAGTTGAAAGAGTAAAGGTAAAGAATATTTTATTTAAAAATATTATACAGAGTATCAATTTGAAAACTTTCAGTGCGAATGTCTCGCAAAATAAAAAAGTTGGAAAAACGCCGTTTGGTAGAAATGTTATAGAGTTAGGGGGAACTAGAACCACCATTTTTAAGTGAGCGGGTGAGTCACCCCTTAGACGCGACACACCCCAACTTTAAAATGTCAAATGGCACTACTCCTTTTGTTATACCTCAAATGAAAGGTCTCATTTAGTAGTATTCACCTGTACAAGAATTTTTTTCCATTCAATACAAAACAAAAAATTCGAATAAAAAAAATTTAATGATATTTTATTTGATTAGATGTTCAAAATGCATTCCATTTTGTGCTAAACAATAGTATAATCGATTTTCAAATTCTGTTCTAACATTGTGGAACACTTCTCTTGGAATATTGCTGCATTCCGTAATAATTCGTTGCCGAAGATCTTCTATTGAATCCGGTTTTGTTTTAAATACGAAGGATTTCAAATGTCCCCAGAGAAAAAAGTCAAGAGGTGTTAGATCGGGAGATCTCGCCGGCCATTCGATTGGATCTCTCCGTCCAATCCATTGACATGGAAAAGCGTCATTCAAAAATTGCCTGACTGGAAGAACGTAGTGGGGTGGTGCTCCATCTTATTGAAAATGTATTAAATTTTCATTCACATTCCTGTTTCCGTCAATGTCCAGCTTCAATTTCTTTAACAATGAGAGGTTGAATGGTGGTGCCTAATATTTCCAAGTAAGTTTCACCATTACGATTGCCATTAATAAATAATGGCACAATCACAGTGTCGCCTAAAGTTCCCGCATAGACATTTATTTTTTCTGGATACTGCGTGTGCCCTTCCCTGAAGAAATGCGGATTTTCGTCACTACAATACCTGCAGTTGTGTTTATTCACTGAACCGTTTCAATGAAACGTGAATTCGTCGCTAAAACAAATATTTTTTAGCAACTGGGGAGTAACTAACATTTCGGTCATGTCCTCGCAAAATTGCATTCGTCGATCGGGGTCATCCTCCTGCAACTCCTGAAGAATTTGCATTTTGTACGGGTAAAACTTATGAAGTTTAAGTACCCGACGAACAGCTTTATGAGAAATTCCCGTTATCGCCGAAGCTTGGCGTAGAGACATAGCAAAATGTCCTAAAACTTCCACTTGTGCTGCTTCATTAAGTACTCTTTGATGGAACCTTTTTTTGTTTGCCACTGATCCTGTTTCTTCAAATTTAATAATCAGTTGTCTGATGTAAGGATGACTTACATATTTTCCGGGGTTTATTTCGTTAAATGCTGCAGCCGTTCTTAAGGCACAATGATTTTCTGAACCATAAATAAACACCATCTGAATTCTTTCAGCCAAACTGTAGACCAAGATGAACAGAAAATAAAAATTATACTCGTATTTCTTCAATTAGACAGTACAACCTTGCACAAACGACTAAATTTTATACAAACATTGATAAGTAGGTACGTACCGATAAATTCAATGCTATTTTTTATTCTCAGATAAGTGCTTCAAAATTTTAGAATGGAATTTGAATTTTTTTCTGTTTACAAAAAAATGGAATGCATGTTGACCATCTAATGAAATAAAATATCATCTTAATAACAATAACGGAGTTTGAAAATCGATTGTACTATTGTCACGGGGTGGTCGTCAGCCTAGGGGGTATTGTAGCTCAGATTTTATCTGACGACGCCACCACGAGCTCTAGCTCGCCACGCTATATTCTGAGTAGCCCGGACTTTCCCAAAATTTAAATAAAGTCCGCTCAACCCAAAATACAACCTGGAGAGGGGTATTTATTTACTTTTAAGTTACTTAATTACTGCTTAAGGAATAAGAATTAAAATTACTAATTATAAAAAATATTTATTAACATACCCAATAGTTATTATTTACATACACAAAAAATATAAATGGGAGATAAACTAGGAACCAAACATAAAATATAAGTTTACTTGACAAAATAACTAAAAAATTATTATTTCTTACCACATCAAATTTTCCTGTGGGGGCACGTTCACAAGCTCTCAAACTACTTAATTATTAGTTTATTTTATTTTATTACTTGAAATTTTTATTTTTTAAATAATAGTAGAGCTGAGCTCTTTACTGTTACCAGGCCTAACCTGAATGAATCTTTCTTGTCAGAACATTTACCTTCAAGACTCATCTGCTGATTTTGCATCTTTTTCCAGTTAATTCACCTATTTGATTTTTACACATAACAAATTGTTAAATCAGCAAAATGAACAGATTTTATTATTGTTTAACATGAAAGGAAATATCTTATAAAAACTAAAAAATTATTTACATTAATTTGCTTGAGAATAAAAGTATTTTATTACAAAATTATTATATTACTGAAATTTGAAATAGAGGTAAATGTCCTATGTTAGGTGAATTTATTAAATAATGTGAATTTATAAAATTTGGAAAATATTTATTATTTGGAATTTGTGACACTATCGTTTAGAAATAAATAGAATGCATTTTGAATTATCTGTTCAAATAAAGTACCATTTTAACAAAATACAGTTTATGTTATTCGAATTCATGTTTTTGTTGTTATTGAATGGAAAAAAATTCTTATACAGGTGAATACTACTAAATGAGACCTTTCATTTGAAGGGTCGGTCTTTTCAGCTTCAGATAAAGTTCCAGATAACTAACGGACGGATATATTATCTGAGAGTTACTATCTGTCAGATAATTAATTTTCTGTTTTTTCAAATAAATAATATGTGTGGTAGGTATCCAGTAGTTTTTAACCTTATGTGGTTATGTTTATCCATCAGTGAAGTATTTTATCAGAAATTTCATAAATAAGATAATTTATCATTCAGAAGTTAGGTTTACCCAGAAGTGAAAAGATTACTTTTTAAGTTACTTGGGAGATAAAAATTACCTGACACTTTATCTGAAGGTGAAAAGACCAACCCGAAGTATAACAAAATGGATAGTACCATTTGACATTTTAAAGTTGGGGTGTGTCGCGCCTAAGGGGTGACTCACCCCTTCACTAAAATATGGTGGTGCTAGTTCCCCTAACTCTATAACATTTGTGCCAAACGGCGTTTATCCAACTTCTTTATTTTGCGAGATATTCGCATTGAGAGTTTTCAAATTGACACCCTGTAGAAAAGAACAACAGTAGGTATAGTTGTAGAAGTTGGAGTAGTAAGACTAGTAAGCACTTATAAACAGAAGGTAGGAGAACTAAAAATATTAAAAAGGACAGGAGTTGAAGGATTATTATTATTATTATTATTACAAACTAATTAGGGCTGAGGAATGAATCCTATTAAGCCCAAAATTACAAGTTCAATAACAAAGACAATTATTAAATAAGTAATTAGCAAATAACATAATGCAAACAAAGCACTAAAAATAAACTTTTAGTTTTCGTTAAAAAAGTCATCGAGTCGGTTTTTGAATACATTTACTGACTGTGCGCGAACAACACTCGAGGGTAAATTATTCCAAGTATAAAAAACTCTATTACAAAAAAAGTTTTCTCGGGTACGTGTTTTAAAATATTCTTTGCTCAACTTGTATTCATGTCCACGGAGGCGCTCATCTGTATTCCGTGGGAGTATACTATAGAGGTTTGATGAAAAAGTACCATGAAGAATTCTGTATGTCACAATTAAATCACCCCTTAATCTTCTGTGGGCAAATGAACACAAATTCGCCATGTTAAGCCGTTCTTCATACGATGGTCTGATTTTGCCGAAAGGTATTCGAGTAGCGTAGCGTTGAACATTTTCCAATCTTTTTTGATCAGAAACCAAAACAGGACACCACGCAGGTCCGACATATTCCATCAACGGTCTAATGTAAGTTGTATAAAGTTTGGAAAATGTTTGAAAGTACACACGCGTAAAGGACTTTTTTAATAGGTAGATCATTGAGTTCGAACGTTTACATACCGCTGATATGTGTTCTGACCACGTTAATGAAGAGTTTACAATGAGTCCCAGGTCGTTATAGGAGTTCACAGTTGCTAACGCACTACCGTTTAAATAATAGTTCACGCACGGGTTATTTTTTCCTATATGCAGGACGACACATTTTTCCGCGTTTAAAAGAAGCAGCCAGGTGTCACACCAGTTTGAAATAGTTTCAAGGTCTTTTTGTAGCTGGGTAGAATCTGTCACAGGATTACAGTATAGCTTAGTGTCATCAGCGTAACACGAAATATTAGAATTTAAGTCTTTGCCTAGATCTGCAGCGTATACCAGGAATAGTAATGGCCCTATGACAGAGCCTTGAGGGACACCACTTAGAACTGGATACTCTGACGAGAACATCTGTCCAACTTTTACCTTGAAGATGCGATTTGACAAAAAATCACTTATCTAGAGAAGTAAAGAGCCGCGAATGCCAGCTTTTTCCAATTTATAAAGCAATCTCTTTTTGGGAACACGATCAAAGGCTTTAGCGAAATCAAGATATACGACATCGACAGGCTCTTTATTGTCCACAGACGTAGTCCAATCGTTTAAACAGGTCATTAGGTTTGTTAATGTGGATCGGCCTTTAATAAAAGCGTGTTGTTCTTTTGGCAAGAAGTCATAGCTCTTAAAAAAATCAGACATATAATTGGTTAAGATGGATTCCATTATTTTACAAGCGATTGGGACGAGGCTTATTGGACGATAGTTGGATGGACTGAGTTTGTCACTCTTTTTAAAAATAGGTGTCACCGAAGCAATTTTCCACATTGAAGGAAGTGTGTGAGATGTAAAAGAAGATGTCATAATAATGGATAGAGGTAAAGCCAAATATGATGCGCATTCTTTTAAAAGCATTGCGGATAAATTGTCTATTCCAGGTGAGGAATTTGATTTGATTTTTTTGAGATTTTCATTAACAATTGCAGATGAGAACTCGACATTACATAAAGAAGTTGTTGTTCGGGCATCGTGACTAACTGGAATGTCGCCTGTGGGTTCTAAGGAAAATACTTGTGAAAAATGGTTGGCCAGAGCTTCAGCTGTTTCTTGATCATTATTACATAAGTTTCCATCCGTTTTTTTAAGAAGTGGTACTGATACTTTAGAAGATAGAGAGCATCTTATGTGTTTAAATAGCTTCTTAGGGTTATCGCTACTATCGATATATTCTTCGTATTCTCTTCTTGCGTTATCAATAATATTGATTAAATCGTTTGCGAAACGTCGATGGTTAACAAAATCATCATGTCTTTTGGTAGCTTTAAATTTTTTCCACATATTTTTCTTATGTTTAATTAAAGTTAAAAGTTGTCCATTGATCCAGGGTTTTAATTTGTTCTGAGGACATTTTTTGTTTTTTGTGTTAGCCTTTACAATTTCAGATATCTTTGTATGAAATAGTGTCCACATATCTTCTACTAATACAGTACTTCTAAAAAAGTGATCCCAATCAATTTCGGAGAGGACTCTCTTTACGTTATTAAAGTTTGTAACACTATAGGTTACGTCCCTATCGGAATTAGGGGTTTCTATGTTAAATTGCATGTTAAATATAATAACGCCATGGTCAGATTTCCCAATAGGTGAGTGGACAGATGGAGAAATTAGAAGTTGGTCGTCATTTGTTAATATAAGGTCCAGAGTTGAAGG